CCTCCGCCGCACGGCCCGCCGGCGGAGCGGCCGCTGCGCCCGCCTCCGCGAAACCCCTTCGTCCTGTGGGCGGGAAGGGACAAAAATGGTAGCTCTTCACGGAGCCCTCAGCTTGTCTGCCCTCCTCCCCCAAAACGGAAAGGCCGGGGTGGTGGGGAGTACACCGCATGCTTACACAGCGTGTAATTTTGTCACCTGATTTCGGTGTTCCTCTGTGGCGGCTCTCGTTCGCATACGGAAGTCTGAGGAGCTCTGCAACTTGGTAGGTCCCGAGTCTCCTCCCCGCCTGAATAGCGTTAGGAGTGTTATTCTGCTCGAGTTGGCTCGCGGGGTTTTGGTTAGCGAGGCGGCTGCTACGCAAGAGAGGGAGATAATGGGCTCTTCTTGGAGCCTCTTAATTAAATGAGGAGGGTGCAGGTCAGCGAGCTTAAAACCGAAGGTTGACTGCATTCTTTCTTATTATCTTCCTTACTTATCCCAAATCCTGCCCTTCCCTATCCAAAAACGTGGAGCTGACTGTAAAACAAGTATGTATCCATTCTCACCTAAAATGAACAGTGGCAGGTGTTACAGTGGAAAATCATGTGCTGATAGTGAAATATGTTCAGTGTTGAACAGTGAATTTGCTGTGTCACACTTTAAAGTGCTGAACTAGGTAAAGCAAGGCCTTACAAGCAAATTAAAAAATGGTTCTGGTGCTAAACTGTGTTAGAATATATACTTAAAAAGTCGGAAAAGTGTTGAAAAGGTGTTCCAAAATAGTAATCTGCTGGGTTTTAAGACTTGCACCTCCGTTTTGAGGCAGTTGGACCTCTGAAGTTTGTGGTACAGAGTTTCTGAAAGAAATTAATGAAGTTTGTGATTATTTAAGTGTCAGATGTATTGGTACTTTTTGCTTTCAGATGCCTTTGTTGGTGGGCCTGTGAAGGGTTTTATGTTCTGTATCCCTTGGCAACATAGATGCTTCTTTGCAAAAACAGCTATTTGAATGAAGGACATGTTGGCATGACAGATTTGAAAGCAGATAGTTATCAATACTGTTTCTATATTTAAGGAAACTTCAATATGCTGTAGTGTAAAATGAAAAAAAAAAAGTCATTCATGCATTATAGGAAAAATACCTTTGTGAAGTAAAATAAGCCCCTAGAGAACTCACCAACTGTCACTGTCATTTTTTTTCTAAGACAAAAGTCTTATGCTTGCTAACTGCTTTAAATTTTATGTCTCTCTGGTTGGCAAACAGATGTAGGAAAACTGCAGCTAGCTTGAAACAAAATGACTTTGCATGTCTACAACACCTGCAAAAATAAAAGGTATAAATGCCCAGAAAAATGGAGCTTGTTTCTAGTTTGCTTCTGTTTAGCATGGGTATGTCAGTCCTAAAAATTCTTTGCCTGACAATAGTAGATATCGGGCACAATGTGTATTGCAATATATCTACAAATATATTTTCCTTGTTCTATGTTTCCCAAGGCTGCCTTTGCCCAAATCTTTATAGCACCCTATCTGTGAGTGGCTTACAATACCACTTTTCTCCCTGTGGTGCATACTTGCAAGTTAAAGTAATCCTGGGGTATCTCTCTTCTTTCTCACTCACTTAACTTTGACTGGTAGTAAGAACAAGCCTATCCAAATCCTCAACCAGGAAAGACACTTGAAGCTGTTGGTCTTTGCTCTTCACGATTGCATTGCTCTGAGCCCCTTTATGAGTTTGCCTGCATTTTTCTCTTGTGGCTATGTTTGTACTTTCTCTTGTGCTCTCTTCCACACCTAACGTTTGTCACAAACTGATGTTTCAGTAAACTGCAAGTGAGAACCCACTGTGCACTGGTTATTCTACGAACAGCTGGGTCTAGCTGTGTAATGTATGTTCTGCTGTTTGCTGAATGTTCCCCTCTTTCCCCTCCCTCCCACTTTGCTTTGGGGCTTTGAGGGCTCTGTGTGCGTTGCTTACCTTGGTATTTGAACAGCAGAGTTGCATTCTTTGATTGTAAGCACTAAAGCTGGGACAACTGTTCCAAGCTGACAAACATTGCCAGAAGGCATTCTAGGAACATTCAGAATTTTTTTCCCTCCCCTTATTTAGAATCATAGAATCATTAAGGTTGGAAAAGGTCTCCAAGATCATCAGTCCAAGTGTCAACCCAACACCACCATGCCTACTAAACCATGTCCTGAAGTGCCACATCTACATGGTTTTTGGACACCTCCAGGGATGTGGACTCCGTCACCTCTCTGGGCAGCCTGCTTCAATGCTTGACCACTCTTTCAGTGAAGAAATTTTTCCTAATATCTAATCTAAACCTCCTCTGGCGCAACTTGAGGCCATTTCCTCTCATCCTATCACTTGTTACTTGGGAGAAGAGACTGACACCCACCTCGCTACAACCTCCTTTCAGGTAGTTGTAGAGGGCAATAAGGTCTCCCCTAAGCCTCCTCTTCTCCAGGCTAAACCCCCCCAGTTCCCTCAGCTGCTCCTCGTAAGACTTGTGCTCCAGACCCTTCAGCTTCATTGCCCTTCTCTGGATGTGCTCCAGCTCCTCAATGTCCTTTTTGTAGTGAGGGACCCAAAACTGAACACAGTATTTGAAGTGCAGCTTCACCAGGGCCAAGTACAGGGACACGATCACCTCCCTGGTGCTACTCTTCCTCATACAAGTCAGGATGCCATTGGCCTCCTTGGCCACCTGGGCACACTGCTGGCTCACATTTAGCCGGCTGTCAACCAGCACCCCCATTTTTTTTTCTGTCAGGCAGCTTTCCACCCACTCATCACCAAGCCTGTAGCCTTGCATGAGGTTGTTGTAACCCAAGTGCAGGACCCAGCACTTGGCCTTGTTAAACCTCATAAAACTGACCTCAGCCTATCGATCCAGCCTGTCCAGATCCCTCTGTAGAGCCTTCCTACCCTCGAGCAGCTCAACACTCCCACCTAATTTGGTGTCATCTGCAAACTTGCTGAGGGTGCACTCAGTTCCCTTGTCCAGGTCGTTGATAAAGATGTTAAACAGAACTGGCCCCAATACCGAGCCCTGGGGAACACCATTTGTGACCAGCTGCCAACTGGATTTAACTCCGTTGACCACGGGGCCTGGCCATCCAGCCAGTTTTCTACCCAGCAAAGAGTACACCTGTCTAAGCGATGAGCTGCCAGCTTCTCTAGCAGAATGCTGTGGGAGACAGTATCAAAGGCTTTACTAAAGTCCAGATGGATAACATCCACAGCCTTTCCCTCATCCACTAAGTAGGTCACCTGGTCATAGAAGTAGATCAGGTTGGTCAAGCAGGACCTGCCTTTCGTGAACCCATTCTAGCTGGGCCTGATCCCCTGATTGTCCTGCACATGCCTGGTGAGC